AGAAGGTTGTGATTTGCATATAAGAGTTGAAGAGTTTTGTCGTTGTTTCCCACATGTGTTTCCTTCCGGCTGTTTTGAATGATAAAGGGAAATCCTTCTGAAGTTAGAGTTCCCTTGCTGTTTCTTTTTCCTTCATGAATATTCTTCTCTTTCTTTCGCTTTTCACGTAATATACTCTTTCTTTTTTTATTTTCCTTTCTTCCTTTATTTCTTCTCCTTTCCTTTTTTCTTTTTTTTTTTATCCTTTTCGTATCTTTTTACGACCACTTAAGTCACACAAGCCGTTCTTTACCCCGAGCGGGGTTAAAATCCCAAGGTGCTATTAAGATTCCCTTTTCGAATTAAAATTTGATCATCCTTGTTACGACAATGTGGGGCTTCCAGTGCATAGTAATCGCATTAATTGGACCAAGTTCGTTCCAGTGGAATCGTGAAAAGTTTAACGAATACCTCGCTCTCTCTTCCCGTTAATACATTCTCCTTGCATCTGAAAGATGTAGCAAGTGGTGATAAGTATGAATCTCTGTTATATGTATTCAACTTACTATTCTCGAATTTTTAAAGAAAAAAAAGAAAGAGAGAGAGAGAGAGAGAAAAAAAATACAAAGGTCGATCAGCACTCGAGGATCGGGGATGATCTCGTTTCTTCTATTTCGCAATAAACTACAGAAACGATCAGCACATATACCAATATGGAACCGTGTCAAGCTACGTATAGTGCACCACTTGACCGCTTTTTTTCCCTTCTTTCTTTTCTTTTCTTCTTCCCTTTTACCGGAACTTATTGTGTCGGATGTCGCGCGATTTTGTATCAACCGTGTTTCGGGATTCTATTTGAGTACTAGTCAAAGTCCAAATCTCTCGATGGCGGCGATGTGCAGCGTGATCTTTTCTTCTTCTTCTTCTTCTTCTCGCCTTTCTTTCACGTTGTGCCAACTGTAAACAATGTCGTCCACGTAAATCGTGCGCTTAAGAAGGTAAGATGTATAAGATGAAAGAATTGATGATCTTGTTAGAAGAACAGAGAAGATACAAATTTAAATGAATTAATATAAAAAAGCATTAAAAATGGAAAAATAGATATTTAGATGATACGATAATTTAATAAATAATAATTTTTATATAGTAATTAGTAGACATTGAGTTGATGATTTTTAAAATTTAAATTTTTCAAAAATTTTTCAAATTGATGACTATTCTCAATTTCTTCCAAAATACCAAGAAAGTGGTTATTCTTTGTTGATAATGAAGTATCAAAAATATCGTTCTCTCGTTAAATGCAAGATAGATTCTGTTAAATCGATTATCTTTTATCAATATTAATTAACATACGATATATTTACGATGAATTGTTCTTTGTATGATATAATACATAATAATGTTTCAAAAACTGTTATACGAATATATATGTATATAATAAATATGTATTTCGAAAATAGGTAATCAAATTTCGATATCATATCTATATCTATTCTATTTCATTCTATTATTTTGAAATAATTTTCAGAAATTTTTTTTAAATTTGTAATTCAATGATGAAATCATTTTTCATTTAATGATTATAATTAATTAGATAATGAAATTTGGATAAGTTTTATTATTTTATTATATTTATATACGATACATGTGTATATTTATATGTTATTATCCAACAATCATCGTATTCTAAAGATTCATTCAAAACATACAAGTTCGAGTTAATATTATTAATAGATTTAAATCCTTTAGAAGTATGGAAAAAATTTATATATCTTGAGAGAGGAGAGTTTTGTTTATATATAATTCTCTTCCATTGTAGCTAGAAATTAGATACGTATGTAAATAATATTTTACTTCAGTATTTCTCAACGTATGGGTCGTTATCTAATCATAATATTGGACAACAATACAACAATTAAAATTTTAATGAATCTTGAAATGAAAACTCTTCAAGTTGCTCGAAACACATCAAAATATGAATAAATTATATAAGTTTATTTTTATATAATGATTCCAATCTATTAGTTTTTTAAAAATTTTAAGTTATAAATATTTGGATATTTCATATTTATAAACACAGTATTACAAACTGAAATTGAAATATATAGAAATGCTATTTTATATAATATCAATTTAATTACTTATTTCTATATATCATAAATATTCTATCATCTAGTATCAAATATTGAATCAAGATTTTAATTTAATTGATTAATTAATTCTTACGAGTAAAAGAAATTAATCATTAATTGTTCATTAAAAATATAAATTGTTGCCCTATCTGATGCATATAAATATTAAATAAATAATTAAATCCAATTGACGATTAATCTCCTGTTTTATATTATTGATATTTCGTTTCGATTGTATATTACTTTAATCGTTAATCATTATTGCTATTTAAATATTTTATATTGTAATCATTAATCTTTAATTGCGTTAAATATTGCCCAACATCGATTTCTGGAATTACAAGGAAAAGAAAAGAATTTTTTGAATAAAAATCTTTGATATATTTCACGTTTTTCTGTTTATTTAGCAGTGATAAATTCAAATATCTAAAAAATCTATCACGAAATCAATCAAAAATATAGAATTATTAAAACAAATGAAATTCATTCGAAAAGTTTGTTGTAATTCCTATGTTATATTTCTAATCCTATTTATATTTCAAATCTTCTGTTTCATTTCAAATTTTCAATAAAATTAAGCTAGAATTTTGAATTTAAACTTTTAACTCATATTATTTATAATTAAAAATTCGAAGTTAACATTTTTATTCCATTTTTAAATCTAAAATAAAAAATAATTAACCAATTGTTTTGCATAAACTTTTCAATGTTGAATAAAATAAGTAATAAATAATAATCTCAATGTAACTTAAATATAAATATAACTAATTATACTATATATATAATTTAAATATTTAATGCATTTCTTTCTTAAACATTCAATGCATTATTCCTATTCTATAAATCTCTGTATGTACTGCTAATTTATATAACTTTCATGATCTATTTTATTATCCCTATCTTCAATCCCTCTCTAAAACTCATGACATTTTCAAAAATATTTATTATCAAGAATTGATTTCTCTATTTAACTAATCAAAATTATGAATTCTCCAAATCATTAATTTCACTATCCATTATAATTGAATAATATTATAATGAACCTTTCGTTATTGAATAATTTAAGTGTCTTGCCAACAGCAAATCTATAACGAAATACGATTTCACCTAACAAACTCATGATCCATTCCCAATGTCCAAACGGTGTTGATTCATCATCCTGCTTTTTTCTTCATTCCTTTTATCCCAGTTATTTTTCAATGTTCTTAAAATGAGTTTACATTGGCATTCATGAACAACGCCGTCGGGTAGCATTCTTGACGTAACTGGAACAGCAATTGCACGAACGTAATATATTGCATTCACACGTCCGTGTATTGCGCAGGCGCATCACTTTTTACAAATTGTTTAAGGTTATATCGTCCGTTCCTGTTCCGAACGGACATTGGTCGGAAATGTATAAGTATAATTTGAACTAATTCGCACCGAATAAAGCGTGCATAATGTGAAAATATTGGCAGCAGTTTGTTTAATGATAAAATAAAAAATGAATAAATTTCTGGCTAAGCAATTTGGATAACCGATCGATGTTTTCGCGGCTGAAAAAGAGAACGAATTGGGTCGAAACTGGTCTCGATGATTGCCACGGTGATTTTCGTAATCGAAACCTTGACGCGATATCGCTGACATTAATACCTGTTATGTTAATGAAAAACGATAACGACCCGCAGGATCTATCTTGAGACCAGCTTATACCGAGATACTGGCAAGGATAAATGAACGCTTTAATAGATATTTTTTTTTATCGATAAGAAAATATTATAATTACAGGACGATTAAAATATTTTTCTAATACGTTTTATATTATCTCTACAAAAAATATCGTATGAAATATAATTACCAGATGTAATCTTTATGCATATGCATAATTTATTTTATAAACATTTAAACTATAGAACTGGTGTAAATATCATTTCAGAAGTCTAAAGAACTAATAGATAATTCCTTCTAAAATCTAATTATAAGTTTACCAACTGGGTTATAGATATATTAATTGAACAATATATATTGGTATACATATAATGTATAATGTATATTACAGTATTTGAACTAGAAAAGAATAATTTTAAAGAATAAAAAGTAAACAAAAGTTGATTTACTTGAAACTTATTTATTAAATTATAAATAATTTCATTTACTAGATTAAATATTATACTTGGATTAGATATTGAATAAAATGAAACTGAAAGATACATAAAATATAGCAAACCATTTCATTTTTTTTTATTTAATAAAAAATTAAATATTTATAACTTGAAAAATATTTTAATAAATTAAATATCAATTTTTTATTTGTTCAATTTCTAATCAATTCTTAAAAATTTTTATCTACTTTGTTCAAACAGTTATGGTCTTAATTATTACATCAATCTGCAACACGAATAGTATTATAATAACATTTTTAACGTAGTCTATATTCAACAATCAAAACAATTTAACTTTCGCTAAGTTTATTTTACAATTTCCCAATAGATATAGATGAACATGAACAAATGCTTAATCGTATGAATGAGAAGATGAAATAATTAGAATTGATCTCCATTATTAAAAGAACATTCAGCGTTTTTTTCACTATCTTTAGTTTCTGTCGCGAACAGATATATGGAACGTACAAAGAGAAAATAGGCAGGAGAGACGAAGGAATCACAGATATGAGAGAAAAATAGCAAACGTCGCTAGAAAAAGTGAGAGAAAAGGTCGATCAGAGAATGGCTGACAGAAAAGAACGAAAAGTAGCAAAAAGTAAGAGAACAAAGGTACGCGGATGAAAGAAGCAGAAATTGGTAAAAGTAATATAAGAGCAAGGAAAATGCAAGAATGTATGTGACTAAATGTAGAGAAGCAGGATGATGAGGTCGACTGAATGCCGTTAGACCGTGTCGTGATGCAGCTACATACATACTTATATATACATATACGTATATCCATATAGCTTCGTGTGAAATATCATCGCTCATAGAAAAGAACAAACGAAAAGCAGAAAAATAGAGAAAGAGACAGATTAACAAAGAGAGAGTCACCGACGATCCGAATTCACGAATCTGTTCGTGACAGTTTTGCATGAGATGGAACGCAAAAGTATAATTCTATTGTGGCATTGTCCACATTGTTCATGTATTGAGACATTGTTTCATTCGTTTCGATCATTCTTTTTTTTTTTTTTTTAATTTAGAAAAAATTAAGTGAGATCAAAAAATGGATAGAGAGACGAAATAATCTGAGAAAATTATCGATTTGATATTTTTTTTTTATCTTTTTCTAATTGTTTCATTTAATTATAGTAAGGTATAATAATATAATATTAGAAAGGAATAAACAAGGGATGTTATTCTCTTAGTATCTTGGCCGTGTTTATAGACAAAATAATTAGAGCAAAGGAGAAAGTGCAGAAATTTTGAAAAATATGCATTTAGAGCGTTTACACAAAATTTCATGAATAATAATCATAATAATTATATATTCCGTATAGATATATTAAAAGAGGAAAAAAAGATTAATTAAGTTTCGTTGAATTTCATATATATCGCGTATATAATATAATTGCATTGTACATACGGTATTTTCTCACTAATCTATTCTTTCTACAGAATTTCTCTTTTTACTGACGTAAATCGACAGAGCCGAGATAGCTATCTTTGGTATGTCTTTCTGAACGTAATGTGAACCTCACACACGATATCTTGGAATTTTTTTCCTCTCTAGTAGATTGACTCGTTGTTACAACCGGTCCGATTCGCAGATTTTTCTTCTCGCCTGACGCAACTCTTTCGACATATGTATACCGGCCATTTGCTTCAGGGCATCGGATAAAGATGCATCGTGGTCCACTATAGCCTGCGAAACTAGGACACGTAATCATCCCACCACTTCCTCGAGACCAACCTGTGTTTCTTGTTCTGTTCGCTCACAACTCTCGTAATACGATTTAGAAGATAATGAAGGTAGAAAATCGATTGATTCATGCCATTAAATATAATTTTATCATCAATTTTACATTGAAAAATGTCGTCAATTGATATTATATATATTTGGATTTATGAATTTTTGTGAGATAAATTATGATATATTTACAACCGTAAATTAGTATGTAAGTATTGTAAAAAGAATATTTCATTCTTAATAAACATAAAAAATAATTGATAATTATATATAATAATTGATAACAATAATAATTAATATGGTCTATTGATATAGTGATTTAATATTGTATTTTCATTTTTTTTAAAAATATAAATTTTAAAAAGTTCTGCTCTAAAATTGTATTTTTTGAAATGTATTACTATTAATGCCAAGCAACGATATGTTTTTTTATTTTAATCAATTTAGAATAAATATATCTTGGCGATGTGACATAAGAATAAAAATAAAATATAATTAATTATTTTTTAATTATTTTTTAATTATTTCTAATATTAATTTTATCTGAAAGTTTTTAATTCGATTAAATATAAATAAAAAAATATATAATTCGAATTCCCACTTTCTTGTTATTGTAATTAAATGAAATCCATTTATCTGAGTCTAAGAATAACTATCTTAAAAAAATAAAAAAAAAAAGAAAGAGACAAACGATGAGAGAAAGGTAGTCACGAGTAAGTATAATATAATATAATTTCTTAATGATTCTTTTAGAAATAATTCTATCATAGAATTTTTCTCACGAAATACTGTTATATAGCATAAAATATATAATAATTTTGATATAAATAATTTTTGTTAACAAATTAATTAAATAGAACTAATAAGATGAAGTTATTAATAATTACGATTGAATTTTGGTGAATTTCAATTTTGTCGCACCTCAAATTGCTCGACGTTTGAATCTGCGTTACGATGCAACAATGACCTCATGAATAATTTAACACGCCATTGTTTCATTGGTATGTACTAATAACATCACGTCAGTTGTAACGTATCTGACACTGATTCACTCCGTGAATACGTTTTTTCTTTATTTTACATTCGGTCACCCATGGCTTTTATTTTTAAAAATTGTTAAACCCGGATGCGTGCGATTTTTATCGATCTTGCAATATCGACACGATGCAACAGTCACCATTTCTATGTAACTGCAATTCCACATCACTTGAAATTAAAATGGATCTGCATACTATATGATTACGATTCACTTTCAATAAGACAATAAAAGTTAACGAAATGTTTGTAGAATTATATAAAAAATAAATTAATTGCTAATATAAAAGAGCTATATTATTTATAAAATTAAATTTATTTTTTAGAAACATTATTTTTTGAAAAATAAAAATCAGAAATTCATCCATTTAATAATTCCATGAATTATTACCTTATTTCTCGAATTAAGATTAAATGAAGCATGAATAATTTAAAATTTAAATATAATTTCTATTCATGGAAAAAAAAATGGATATTTTTCATTTGATATAATAATGCAATATAAAATTTATATATTAAATATAATATTAATTATTAAAAAATACTAACAATCTATTCCTACAGAAGAAATTATTGAAGAAATAAGAAATGAAGAAGTACAAAATTTTGCCTGCATTGCTTTGGCATCATTTGTGTCCTGTTCCGCTTCTCTTCCACGTTGAAAAATCTTATTTCACAATTCAAATTTGAACTAATTAATGTTCAACATCCATTAATAAATTATTAATTTTTTTTAATCGTCTTTCTAACACAACACGTTTTCATCACTGTATTAACACAAATTTGTCGTAACAATTAGAAATGCAACCGCTTCAAGACGCATTCACACGTTCTAGAGCGTCTCTTGAACTGAATTTCTAACTCAGGCCCTGACTCTTTATGCCCATTTGGCTCTGGCAGGTGTTACAGATGGCACCACTGCTCAATCATCTATTATCGGTCCCTCTACATTTATGTTAGTTATAAAATGGAATCTATTTATATTAATTATTTTTTAGAGGAAATATATTAAATTTTTTTTCGAAATAATAATGTTTTTTTTCATATTTTCTTTCAACTTAATTTAGGGGAAAGGTAGTAATAATTAATAATTATAGTTTTATGTATTTTTTATGAATTTATTTTTTTTATAAATTTAAAAATAATATATATAATTTAATAATTCATTAAGAATCGTTTTTCTGCTTCACTAGACTTTACAAATATCAAAAATGCCGGTGTACCTCCTCGTACTATAAATCTGAAATTTTTTATTTTATAATTATTTGGGATTTTAATTTTTTTTAATTTCTAATTTTCACACTTACTGCTCGTTCTGCAATATTTTTCCTAGAGACTGATCAATGTCCACCTTATATAAAGAACATTTATCTTTACCCTCAAAATAAACATTTATATTCTGAAGAATATAACGTTTCTGTGAATCCCATTCAGGTGGTTCATTAAACAACTGTTCTAATTGTTCTATCAACCTGAATAAGCAAATTTATATGAAATAGTCTTTAATTTTTTAAATAATTTGAAATACTTATGTTACATAAAATCATACAATGTATCTTCATGGAAATTTTGTATAAAATCTGTTTGTTGTGTTTCTGGATATAAAATCATAACTGGCCAAATAAGCTTATTTTGTGCATCCAAATGAACCCTATTCTGTGCTATTTGTGGTATTTGAGGTTCCAAATCTTTTAAATCTGGATTTTTATTTTCTTCGATCAATTCTAAATTAATCTTATTTCTTTTTATTATATTTAATAATTCTTCTTCTTTTTTATTTAATTGTTTTTCTAATCTATCTTGTTTTCTTTTATCTCTTTTTAAACGGTCCTATAAATATTCAAATATGAATTATATCTATATATTATATATTATATATCTAAATATTTTATCAAATTCGTATAATATTATATATATCTTACTCTTGCAGCAACTGCTTGTGATTTTAAATGTAATATTATTTTATCAGTGGGAGATTCATCAAGTAACTGATCACAAAAATCAATGCAATTATCATAATCTTTTATATATAAACAACAAGTAGCAGCTCTATTTAAAGTTTTTGTATAATTTGATTTTAATTTCAAAGCTAGTTTGCAATCATTTAAACTTGATCTATAATTTAGATAAAAAATGATCTTAATATTGTAAGAAATCAATGCATTATCTAACAGATCAAAGTATACCTATAATTTTTTAACATAAAATGTGCAGCAGCTCTATTATTATAAAGCTGAGCCATTAAATCAACATCTTTACATTTAGTTCTTATGCCTTCTGTATAACTCAGAATAGCTAATCTATATTTTTTATATTTAAAATTGAAATTTCCATCTTCTTTATAATTATTAGCAAGTTCTATAAAACACATGCATAATTATAATATTATTAATATCTATATAAAATTTATATTAATAAATTATAATTAAAAGATAATTAAATTTTAAAAATAAATTCAAACCCTCAGGTGTATTTTCATCTTCTCCATATTTGAGCTGTTGCAATCCTTCCATCAAGGGTGAAAGTTCTTCTCCAGGTTCTGGTATTTTTTTCATAAAAAATGGATGTTTTTCCATTTCTTGTTCCCACTGATCTTCTGGCCATCCTTCTGTATAACTTTTTTTTTCTAAATTACTTATATATTCATCGAGTTCATCATCTAATTTTGAAGCAAGTTTTAATCGTTCTTCATCAGTCCATTTCTTATTCTTTTCACTCATTTCTTCCATTGTTTAATAATTATTTATTTCAATTTTATTTATTTATAATAAATAAATGTGCACAAACATAAATATTTTTGAAAATATTTGTTATAAATTATTTAAAATTATTTACCAAACGAAATAAATATTATTAAGAGAAAAGTATAACTACTTTGATTTCATGAACCATAACCTCCAAAATTTCATATGTATCATTTCTAAATATTATAACATTACCGACAGAGTATGTTTTTCCATTTCTCTCAATGATGGCGTTACTAGTTTCTCTCAAATATTTAAAAAAGTATTGTTTCTAAGCATTTATATATAAAATATTTTTTCTATCTAATTCTTTATAAAAAATTAAATTTATTTTAAATTAAACAAATTCTTAATGGATTCAAAAAACACAATTTCAATTATGACAAAATTACAGAACATAAAGTAATTAGTATTTTAAAATTAAAATTAGAATGAAAAAAGTATTCGAATGTTCTTTAATTGTTTAATAATAATTAGAAGTGTTTAATGAATATTTTTTAATTTTAAAAAGAATGAAAAATAATCTTATAACATTGTGAAATTCATTATTGAAATTATTATTCTTCGTTTCGAATTGGTTTATATGAAATGAAAAAAAGAAGGGCGGGTAATCCTACAATAAAATCCGTATTGAAAGTTAGGGATGAGAAAAGCTAGAAGAGATACGTCGATCGGATAGTAGGGGTGGTTAAGGTTCGGACATTTACGCAAACATTCGGGTTTTGGCCCCTTTGTGTTCGGCTAAGCAAGATGGCGCTCGGTGAAAGCTGGTCCACGATTGGTCGATGAGACCGCACCGCGAATCTCCCGAGAACAGTCGCTTCCACGGCCTCGGAGCGGGCGAGTTGTTGATCCCCTTGGAAAAAAGGAAAACACGCTCTCTTGTTGCGGCGACGAGTGTAATGGCCACCGTGGGCCTAGGATAGTAAAGGAGGTGGTTGGGATTCTTTGATCAAAACGCTGGCAATCAACAAACGACTTATCAGCTAGTTAAGATCAGTGAATTTAATTCGTGTGTGTCGAACTGCCGCTTTTTCATTTTGATCAGTGGCTTTTGCCCGGTGAAGAGTGCGTGTACATCAAGTAGTGCATCAGTGTACTTAATGTGTGCCAGCCATTGTCGAGCGTGCATCGTAGTGCCGGTCATCTAATCATCGACCACACTGGATAATATTGCTTATTCGTTTTGTTATTGGATTCTATCTTTTTAATACACAACGCATCAACGGTGAGTATTACAATATAACTAAATGAAATCATATCACGATATTGATGACCGTGCGTATACATCAGAAGAATAGCAAGTTTAACATTCACGATGTGTGTATATTGTGATTGTTTTGTTCTCTCTCCCTAAGAGAGAAATATTTATTTATTGATATTTTCGTATAGAACTAGACGCACCCTCAATCTTTTCTATCGTATAATTTTTGCTCTATTATTTCATGATTTTAAGAAAAATTCTGATTCATTTACGGATCGTAAAGATATGTTTCTGTTACTCAATCGTTCGCACATGTACGTTCTATCTTCCCATGGGGGAAAAGTCCATTTATTGTCATATGCAAGTAGTAATGAGAGTATGCGCGTTGCGAAGTACGATCAATTTCGGAAGATCTACCATCACGCTACAAAAGATGTCGCACCACCCTTTTCGCTAGTTTATTGTTGCTAAATGTTTTCGACTGGTTTTTCGTTTATCTCAAAAAGTGTATTTCTTTTTTTGTTTCATATCTCATTCATTTATATATTCAAAATGTTCAGCTCCTATAAATAGCATTAAATGTCAAATTATCAGTTTCAATGGAAATTAAAATGATTCGTTAATACATCTACATTTTAACGTCTTATTAATCGCGTATTAAGGTTATTGTTTTATTTTTCTTATGATTATGTATACTGATAGAGTAAAGACAACTTTGCAGTTACTTGTCAAAACATGTTAAACGAATAAAATGAGAGAATACAACGATCTCATCGTGTTATTAACTCTTCGTTTGTTTTTCAAGTGCATCTTTTCATTGTTTTTTCACTGATTACTACTGGATGGGCGTATTCTTTCTTTTGCAAACAAGTGTACTCCATGATAATCTTATTTGCGTGAAAAGTATAAACACGTTCTGCTAATCATAAATGATCCATTTCGCCACTTTAATAGAGATCATTCGGAATATTGTGAAATAATGTATCGCGAGTCGTAACAGGTGCCCTCATCCATTACTCTTTTCCATTCTTTTTGTAAAGCACGTGCCTCGCGTTTAGAACCAAGATATTCATATGTCATTATTAAAAATATTATTAATTTAGAAATGATCATATTGTTTTCTTTGTTCTTTTTTTAATTGATAAATATTTGTATATGAAACATTTCTGCTATTCTTTAATTTTAGCATTAAAATTATCACGTTTCTCACGCGATCTAATTCTTTGCGCGTCTATATATTTCGTGTTATACATGGCATTCGTAATATCGAAAGTAGAACGTTAGCACGTGTCGCTGATATGTGTTTCTTCATTTCACTCGCGGCGAATTTTGGATCATATAAACTATCGATTTCCAACATGGATGAATAATTTTTTTGAGCGGTGGTTTTTAATTAAATTTTGTTACTGAACGCAGATCATACATTCAATTCTGAGAATTTTATTTGGAAAAAATATTATTTTTTATATGTTGGTTAGAAAAAATTGTTAATAAATAGCGTGAAAAAAATAAATAGGTTATGTTATCGATGTATTATTAGAAGCTTATTCCTATATCGACGATCTTTTATGAATGTCAAGAATAAGCTTATGTATAATGTGAAAATAGTCAATGAGATATTTATTCATACATACACAAAAACAAATTTTTATTAGATATATACACTTCCAATTGAAATAATATTTTAAGTTATATATAATAACTAACTATATAATATCGTATAATAAATCATCAAATATTTTTTTTAAGTTAATTTTCCAAAAATATGATTACGAGATAATCTTCATACTATGATTTTTGGCAATGTTAAAAGTACATGTTAATGTTATTTATATAAATTAAATTTGTTTATATAAATACATCAAATTTAAACTTTAAATAGAATGAAATCAACATAACCTCAAAAAATATTATAATAGAAGTTGCAATTTAAATCACTAATTAAATAAATTATTATTAAATTTAATAAGTAATAAATAATTATTAAAGAAAATGTGTTAAATGAAAAGACTAGTTGTCATCGATTGATTTGTACGTAAGTACTTTGTGTTCGAGATGACGGGTTGCGCACGAAATGACGCTTGGAATACTTTCGATGAGATCCTCTCGTGAAATTCTTTTTGACGTTGATTGCGCATACCCTACACGTGTCAGCTTTAAATCTCGTTCAAAAGCCCGCTATTCGAGGCTTCGTTTCTTAAATTTCGTTGCGCTTCCAGTTGACAATCTATTAATCTGCCATGATTTATGCACATAAATGCAATTAAACCAGAAGCCTATTGATATGAGTAATAAATTCGACGATAGAGATTAGCTCAAGCCACTAATAATTGAGGATTTCTCGACGGGTAGCTTTGTGGTCAAGTATTCGTTGTTAAGTCTAGGAGTGTTTAGTGTGTATAGATGCGTTATGTTGTCTCTAAATCACGCGGTCGTAATAATGTATTACTGAAAGTAGCGCTTAATCCCGGGATGATTTGTGACGTTTACTGATAGAGCATTATAATACTTTTAATGGCTATCCTGTCAGCTTGTAATTTATTACGTTATATAAAATTGGAAAAAAGATAAAAAATATATATATGTATATATTTTTTTTATATTTTTTTTAATTTTGTTAAATTTTTTTAATTACAATATTATTCTACTTAATATAATTTTAAGATTTTATTCCATTTAGTATTCTATATAATTTTAAATACCAAGTGAAATATATAAAGATTTTCCCAGAGATATTTCATCGGCAGGTGTACAAACAATTTCACCGACGGGTGCATCGATAACGTTGTGAATATTAACTTTTTCTTTTTTTGAATCGTATATCCGGATAATAACGATTAAACGGCGTTGGTCCGTTGTACGTTACGGTCTCGTAAATGTCATGCCCGACGATAAAAATTTTCTGTCGCGTTGCGTTATACCTTTTTCTTTCGAACCACTGACTGCATCACAGTATTTAAAAATTCGTGGTCGATAAACATATAAGCAAACGAGAATAGAACATCTTCGTTATATGAATAAAAGAAAGATATATCAGAGTTGAATCTTGGTAATTTAAACGTCTTAATAAGATTATAATTTTGTTTGTTCTCTTTGGCACCGCTATCTATAAGGTGTCTTACCTACAATTCATCTATTTATATAAAATATTATGAAATTTAACATTCAAAATGTATAACAGATGAACTAATATCTATCGCATTTCACATTTATTCATAACAAGCTTGAATATTCTATGAATATTTCGAATATACAAAAATAAAATATAAAACAATCTTTGAGCGACCGAAATTAATGACTAAAATTAAAATAATAAATAATATAAGATTAATATTAAATTATTATTGTAATTTCAATTATTTTGATCGTCCAAAGGTTGCTTTATATTACATTATTTTATTTTCGCATTCCATCCAATCTTGTGGATAGATATTAATGTGTAATGATTTTTTTTCATACATTATATGTTGAATGCTGGTTATGATGTTTACAAAAACATCAGATAATCAATGGTCTTATACATACTGACTCATACATATTGACATACATAATACTGATCTTGAATGCATATGAATAAACACTATTTAATGTGTAGTATTGAAAGACTTTTATTAATATCTTAAAAATTAAATAACTATTGAAGTTAAAATTTATTTAGGATCCGTGTTTCTTTCTAATCAATCAACCATCGATGCTTTTCAAAAATATAATAAAAATAATTATATACTTATAAATTTTTCTTTCACAATTTGAAAAATATTAACATTAGCATTTTATATCAAATTTTCATTTACTTATTTTTTCCAATTACTTTTGCGCAATAACATTTGATATAATTGAAATTTCCATAACTCGATGATGTTAGCATTATCTTTGAAATTCCACATATCGAAATATATACTTTAGATGTATAAAATCTAGCAAAAAAAAGAAATTCATTTCTTCATCGTGTTTCATTGCAGGGTTGTTGTGTTATGTATTGCGGGAGAGGGGGAAGAGAAAACATCACCGTTTAACTCGTTGAAATCCGACTATGTTTAATGAGACGTCAAGAATTTGATGCAAGTTTCGAAGGCACGATAAAGAAAGACAAAGAGAGAAATATACACCGCGGGGCGGTCTTTATAAAGACAGCCTTTATATTTGACCGGTCGGAAATTCAGTGAGCATGTGGCAACGTCGGATATATCCCTCTCTGTGTTTCTTTCTCCCTCGGGTCGAGGCTCGATTCGTTGGCCACGCATCTTTTTCCAGCAGCGACGAACCGGCGGTCGGCCATCGGGGCCCCATCGCGTTGTGTACCCATAGCAGAAAGTTTCTTCTACCTTTGCCACGCCACCACCTTACACCCCATCCACCATATTCTTTTATTTTATTATTTGACCCGACCTCCGACGAGTTAGGCTGTTGCCTTCGCCTTTACAGTCTTGTTCACTCTCTTTTCTCTAACTTGTTCTCTCTCTCTGTCTTTCACTCAACTGTAGCCTCTTCCCCCCACCACCTGTACCTTTCTCTTCGAAGCGATTCGCTTCGCGACTAACGAAGAAACTGGAATCACGTTGTATGGATACGAAGAAGATCCTCGTACGAAGAGAAATCTCTTCGTTGGATTTTTTTCCCGAATCTCCTCTTAGTATTTTTTATCTAATATAATAGAGTGTGTTCCCATGTATATACAGAATTAGTTTAGTCCAAATTTTCCAAGAGCCAAATGAATATTTTTTTCTATTTATGTTGGACGCGTTATCGATACTTGCGCGTATGAGTGAAAGGCGCGCATATTAAAACTTGAGGAGACTCGCCAGGAATCCAGGAAGAGACGCTGTGAAGCATCAGCGGTTATGGGGGAAAGGAAATCATACGTAGCCGACTATACGGAGGGAAACTTTTCATAATGTAGGATCCGTTTAAAAATTTTTCAATCGTGCTCGCTGATATCGTGAACTTTGCATTCCTCACATTTTTCATGGATAGTCGGATCATATGGAATAATATTGACTCACCTGAAGTAACCTTTCACATTC